ATGGTCCTAGGATGTGGGAGATGATGCTGTGTTTGAGGGCACTCTTCACACCATCAGACATTCGTGGAACACGCATGTTCGTCTGTCCAAGACTCGCCTGGAGACCTTTCAGCAAGGCGTGGTAAGCACAATCCCCATCTCCGGCAACCTCGTGCGCTTGAGCTTCTCCCGGGGGCGTGAACGTGCGGCGGGATTCCCGTCTCTTGACAACGCAGTTCACCTTGGGAAGACTGGACTCAAACCCCGCCTTGTTGGCCGCGTCACGGCCGAGGCGGTAGGCTTGGGGCAGGAGCTCTTGGGGTGTGCACACCCCCGTAACTTCGACTTCAGGTTCGGGGCGAAGAGCAGCAGCAGACACGGCAGCAGCAAACACGGCAGCAGCAGCAGCAGCAGCAGCAGTAGCCATGATGGTGCGGGGGAGAAAAGCCGCCAGCAGGGCGAAAAAAATTGTCTTCATCGCACCTGCTGGCGTCTGTGTGTGTGTGTGGTCTGGCCTCTGTGTGTGGCGCGAACTCGCGGATCTGCACCGTAGTGGAACTCCCTGCTCGTGTATTGCTTGCGTCGGGAACTGTGTGTCTGGTGTCCCCGCGTTCGGACTTCCTCTGAGAACGCGGTCTTTTCGCGCTGTCGAGCTCGCGCTTGCAGTGCGACTTTCGACGAAAAACTTGTGCGACAGGAAGAGTAACAACATTCTTATCGACACTCAGGAGGGGTGTAGTCACAAAAGGGTTAAGGCCTGACAGTATTCGTCCCAAGTCGCGGATGCTCTCGGCCTGACTGTACTTACCTGTGTTCCGACGTGCGGTTAAACAACTCGCCGACCGCCATTCTCGAGAGTCACTAACCAGTTCGACTAGGGTGTCGTAGGCTTGATCTCGAAGTACAAACGGGGAGAAATTGGATCGCGCTTTGGTCCACTACAAATTCGGGTGGGCCATCGGCCGCAACGCAGGCTAACTTCACACGTGCCCTGTATTGAGTTAGAATTTCAACCACATCTGGCTCCCCTGGCTTCCCTGAAGAAGCGATCACTTTTTGGGAGGTCGTTCTGCCGGAAATGAGATTTTTCGAGTGTGCGTTGAATCGGGGGTGCCTACAGGCATAGAAGATTTTGCAAGATGGGGCGCGGACCGTGCTACAGGGTTGCTAGGCCTGTGTGTACTATCCTCGCTATGCTGAGTAGATGCCAACTCGGGCGCTAAGCTGCGTGGATGCACAGGTGAGTTCTGAGTTGCAGCGGGTAATACTGGTTGGCGAAAAATGAGACCTGAGGAGGCGCTACCTCCAATATTCTGATTCTTCTCAACGGTACTGCTACGTGCTGGAGACGAAGTATTCACCTGACTGAGCAACCTCTTCTGCAGAGGCCGGAGTTGTGGTGGCGGGCTGCATGGTCAGGCGGAAGATTGACACCAGCCACTCGGGTGGTGTGGAGCCCTCTTTCTAGTGTTGGGCGAGCAACTCGGAGAACTGGCCTCCTGCACTGGACATGAGCGCCTGGCGTTCCTTGGGTGAGACTCCCTGTGTCCGAAAACCTTCACGCATCTGGTGAATGATGTGCATGTCACAATCGCTGTTCAACTCCTGGTTATCAGCTCCATCACCGCCGCTATTATCCTCGTCGCCGGTGTCATCTCCATCGCCGTCGTCAGGGGTGCCATCAGGTGTGTCACCTTTTTCCTCGCTCTCGGCGCGCTCGTTCCCCTCGGGGATAGGCTCTCGCTGGGAGATATGTCCCCGAGAGGGACGTGGTGTTGCCACACGCTGAGGAGGGGTGCCCCGACTGGGTAATGGACGATTGCGACAAGGCGGCTTTCGCGGCAGCGACCTCTTGCCGCAGGCGCCATCCGCAGCTGATGAGCATAGATTTTTGCGGGGGGGGATGGTGATGAACCATCCCCGGCTAAGGTCTGAAAAAAATATGACACACTACCCCGCGGGCATGTACATGATGGATTCATTTTTTTTGTCTTGTACAAATTTTGACGGTTTGACCGGGTTTCAACTCATTTCCCCTATTTCCCTCAGGAAATTCGCGAAACGCAAAAACCCGGGGATGGGCCTGAAACATCCCCGGTTTTGAAAAGTGGTCAGATTGATTTGAAAAATTCAGGTTAGGGAAATTTTTGGGTGGGGATTACGAGTCCGCCGTGGTTTTTTTTTCATTTCGATTTTGCCTTTGAGATACAGGTACACATTGAACAGCATCGCCTTGCCAAGAAACTCAAAAATATTTCAAGATATTTTACACATCCTCTCGGGAACCGCCCCCCACACACCCCCCTAAGTTCGACCTCAAACGGGCTCTGAAGCCCAACACTGCTCCACGAGAAAAAACAAGAAGCGTGTCACAGCCCACCCCCCGAAACGGGCAAAAATACTGGGCTCTGCCTTCCTTCCAAGCTCTTCCCAAATCTTTGATGCAGTAACAGAGTCGCCGTCCTGCCACTGTGTCCCAGTTATTCTCTTCGTTTTGCATTCCTTCTTGTATCGCGGGAACTTCATCCCCTCGGAGGCATCTTCGTCTACGGGCGCTACTCCAGTGTCCATGATCACCGTTTCCTTCACCACGCCATCCTCCATTGCGGGAACGAGACGGGGGTACGTTTGCTAACGTAGCACTGCTCATACTCAGAACGCCGGCACGCCGAGCAGAAGCACGACGCCAAACGAGTCCTGAGACTGTAGGTCCGTTTCACCTTCCTGCAAGTCACGTCTTCCTCCCCCGATATCGGATCCTGCAACCCAGCCCCCTGGCCCTTCTATCTGCTCGCTACTGCACCCAACACCTTGACTTCCCGCAACCGGCTCGTCTCTAGACTCGACAACTGGCCCTGGCCCTCGCTCTTCAGCACGAGCTTACAGTCATCTTCGCGTCCCTTGGTTGAGGTGGACCCATCCCACTCGGGAGTGTTTGCTCCCGCAAAGTGGTACATCTCTCGTGTACCCTCTACGCCTTCCAGGATCGAGTTTGGCCGATATATCTCCTTCTTACCGATAAACTCGACGTGCACCCTCCGCATGGGGTACGGAGACCACTTCGCGAAGTACCTCCGCATACCCTCCTCCCCCTCGCTGCCTGCCTTCTCCCGAAAGAAGCTTCGCAAAAACCTGACCACCCCGTCCGCCCCCATGATTCGCTTGCCAAATCTCTCCCTCCTCTTCATGGCGTTCTTTGCGACTCCGCCGATCCCACCACCGTTGAAGTGAGATGTGGCCGCGAAGTCGTGGTCGATGAAGAAGCCAATTTGCCGGACGCTGTCGGCCAAAAAGCGGACATTCCGCCTTCCCTTGTACTGCTTCCCGCACCCATCGGTAAAGATGTGAATCCGAGGCGTCCTGCCTTCTTTCCGGGCGGCAGCCGTTGTTTCGCTCCCATCTCCACGCAGGTAGTGGTCCGCCATCCTGGCCAAGCCGTGGAGGTGGAAATCGCAGTCATGTGTCATGTCCTCAGATGCAAAGATCCATGTTTCCGTCACGTGCACGCTGCCACCCCCCACGTGTGTCTGCGGGTTGAAGTGGACGATGGCCGCCATGAGCGTTGTCTGCGGGTAAACAGGCATCATCATGCTGATGTAAGATTGGTGAGTATACTTCTCGGCAAAGTCGGTCTCGATGACAAGGTCACCTTCCTGAAACGTCTCCAAGCAACGCCCGTGGCAGTGCCTTTGCCACTTGACGATAGAGTGGTGAGCCATGTACAGCTTGGTGTGCTCTTTGAAAGCCAACCAAAGATCGCAAAGCTTGCCCTCCTTCGGCACCGTTTGGCTGGCGAGCTTCTTGGCCTTGATCTTCCCACCCGCTGATGCAGGCACAGTTATCACGTCCTCGAACATCTTTCACACCACCGTCTGCTCGGAGGTCTCCAGCTTGCTGCAGATGGGAATGTCGTCAGTCCCCCCCAACCCACACATAGCGCAGTCCAAAGCGTTGCACTCCGGTTTCCGCCCCATCCAACTGTCACCCTCCGGGTCCGCTGCCCGCAAGTTGACCTTGGGGCAGGCAATTGCATCGGAGAAAGTGCCCATATGCTTCCACGTTTCCCGCCACCTGCGGCCGCCATCTACGTTGCACCATCGACAATCGCATTCGTCGTGGCTGGTCATGTCGACAATGGCTAGCGCCTCGATGCATAGCACCTGCTGCGAGTGGATCTTGCACGCGCACTGCTCCATTGCAGGGAGGACCAGGCACTTGCAACGCGTCGAGAGGAAGAGCGTACGGCCAGGGTCCGTGAAATTGTCGCTCTGTCCCTCCTTGAAGCTCTTGTAGGACGCCCAGTTGAAGAACTTGGCGTACACCGCCTCGCCCCCACCCGGCTCCGTAAGCTGCCGCCGAGGGTGGCGGTGAGCTGTCAGAGACTTGCTCTCCTTTCACATGTCGCGCTCAGCTGAGTTGCCAGGCTGGTGAGACACCTCATCCGTGTGCCAGTAATGTCTCATCAACTCCAGCAGCTCTTCGCTGGCGGCATTGCTTTGCTTAGCTCGGGGCCAAAACCAGTAGACACCGCGCTTTATCGCCTCGGTTGGTTGGAGATCGGACAGCAATTTCTTGGCACGCTCCGTCGCAAAGTTGAAGGCTTGCTCGCGAACCCCCAGCGCCGCTGCCCTACGTCTTGCTGACACCGATGAAGCCCCGTCTACGTCGTCCACGGGAAACGCCGCAGCGGTGAGGATCGTTTGAAATGTGCGGCTACCCTCCTTGGTTCTACCTTACCTTTGCGCTTGCTCGAGGGCTCGCTCTAACGAGACCGCTGTGCTGACCTTGGCTTCCAACTCTCGCAAGCGAACACGCGTCTCCTTCGCAAACTTTGAGCCGGTGCCTTCCAAGTGATGCAGCGCCTTGTTATACCCCATCCATGCTGTCCATGGACGCGACAAACGTTTCCGTAGACTGCTGGCACCAGTCAGCCGGCGCCGTCTGTGTGCACACATGACGAACGAGGAGGAGCGGGGGGAGGGTACGACGTTGCGCAACGCATTCAGGCATAACAGCAAGACACGACTGACAGAGAGACCATTGCACTCACAAAATTGGGCACTTGCTTTGCGCGGGAAGCAACACGGACGAGTCTCGGTGTAAGTTTTCGTCGCTTGGCAACGACGTTGTAAAACAAGTCAATTTACTTCGTGAACTCGGCAACCAGGATACTGTTTGTTTTTTTTTAACTCTTTTTTTTTGGGTAACCATAATGGTGGTTGAGTAGATCATGTTGTGCGGGGTCGAGAACCCTCACTCCGCGCAAGGGGGATGATCGCACCACGTTGTGTTACAATGGTCAAGCACCCTCGAGGCAGTTACACAGTGCTTACAACTGTCTCTGGATGTGAAAGCACCAGAAAGTAAAGTAAGTCATACGCAGCTGTCATCCGTACGCAAGGAAGTAAGCACAAGATGCCGAACACCCTTAGCAGGATGCAGCGCACCCTTCATGCGACTCGCCGAATATCTCACGGCGCTTTGCGCTTGGTGATGTGAGAGCCTGGTCCGGTGAGACCCCGGCGTGCTCCGTCCCGGCTTTGTAGGGATGCGAGGTCAAATGTCTAACGACCACGGCATGCACGACCATGAGTACACGCCCCCCGCCCCCCGGCGTTTGCCATCGGGGTTGGGTTTTCGTCCCTTGGCAACGACGTCGTATCACAAGCCAATTCACTTCGTGAGCTCGGCAACCAGGTCACCGTTGTTGTTTTGTTCCTCTGTTCTGCTTTGGCGGTGACCATAACGGTGGTCGAGTGGATCATGTTGTGCGGGGTGGAGAAGCCTCACTCCGTGCAAGGGGGAAGACCGCACCACGTTCTGTCAAATGGTCAAGCACCCTCGACGCAGTTACACAGTGCCTTTAACTGGCTCTGGAGATGAAAGCACCAGAAAATAAATTAAGTCATACGAAGCTGTCATCCGTACGCAAGGAAGTAAGCACAAGATGCCGAACACCCTTAGCAGGATGCAGCGCACCCTTCATGCGACTCGCCGAATATCTCACGGCGCTTCGCGCTTGGTGATGTGAGAGCCTGGTCCGGTGAGAACCCGGCGTGCTCCGTCCCGGCTTTGTAGGGATGCGAGGTCAATGGTCTAACGACTACGGCATGCACGACTATGAGTACACCCCCCCCCTCGCGACTATTCATGCAATCCGATCCTCTCGATGGAAATAACCCCCCTCGACGCAATTATTGCGTGTCTCTTCATCAGGGTTCTATTTATAAACGTTTCTCGGCGAAAGTACTGCAAGTGTTGATTGATGAGTTTGTAGAGGATCTCACCGGCTCAGCTGGCTCGCTTATCGTCACCCCGGATCGGGTCCTGCCACATCCTCGCAAAGCCGCCATGACGGGGTCGGCGACCTCTGTCGGCATTCCTCGTAGCGCCACCGCCGCTGCTGCTGCTGCCACGAACGCCCGTGAGCCTTCTCCCACCTTTCGCGCTTGTTCTTGAGAAGCCTATGAGCCATCTCTTAAGGCTTTTGAGGCTACACGTTCTTCGGTGTTGGCAACAAAGACCTGTTGCTTGTTCGAAGACCTGTTGGGGCTCTTCTTGTCGACGAGAGTTGTGATCAGCAGCACCTCTNACTTGCCTGGCTTTGACACAGCTGCCGCCGGCCCAGCTTCGGCTGCACTCATGTTTGAACCCGCGCGCACCTCAGTTTTTGTCTGATCAACTTTCTGAGTGGCTTTACCCCCCCTAAGTCGGCCAAGCGGAATCGATTGCCGAGGTGTACGAAACCCACATCGGTCGGGAATGCGGCGAAAAATATTTTTGAAGGGGTTCCCGAACCAATTTTTTTTGTACTGTTGGCGTTCTTTGGGTGGTTCTGAAAGTGATAAAAAAAACGGGTTTGAAAAATCTCTTTTTTTTCAGTTGCGCCGGGCGTATGCGCATCACGCAATTTTTTCTTCTGCGAGCTCTTGGTGTTGGGCATCGCGATTTCCTCTTCTTGTCCTTTCCGTCTTCTCGCTATTAATCACGGCGGAGCCGTGTTCTCGTCGACGCCAATAACGTTACTGGTCCCTGTCGGAGACAGAGGCCGGTACTCTTGCAGTATTCTCCCACTGCCAAGGGTGGCTATTTCCTTTCGTGAGATGTAACGAGGAGAGGAAGGTAGAAAAAGAGTGACCAGAGAGTCGAGAGAGGCGAGCCGGGGCTCTCCATCTCTTCCCTCGGCAATCGGCCATGGACTTCGGAAGAGACAAATCTCCTCGCAGTGCTTTACTTGCCACTTCTCCCCATGGCAAGTTACCCCGAGGAATCATATCTTCCTACGCTTTGTATGTGCACAAATAGTTGGTTATTATATATTCCGACAGGTATCCTCCACAAATCTTTTGTATATTTTCTCAATTGACAGTTTCGGACTCAAAAAAAATCCGAAATCAACAAGGAAACATATATTGAGTTAAGCCGTCGTTCTGACGATCGCTCCTGATAGTCTCGCCAAAACCCACATCAATCAAGGAAAAAATTACAGACCTAAGAGCCGAGGGAGGCTTGGTTTATGGAACAATTTTCACCATTTTTCTATTTAGCAAGTTTCTTCGAAGCAACACATCACAAGCACCACCGCACGCACACACAGCAGTCTGCTGAGAACATGTCAGCGCGGCCAAAGTGAAGGCCAGCGCCCAGCGAAAGGCCTTGGAGTTGGCACGCCACCAACACAAAAAAAACAAGGAGTCTGCACGGTCAGAAAGTTGGATTTGTTTCCGGCTGGCTTGAGGTCAGTAACACGCCCGTCAGATTGAGGCAAGGGGGCGGAGGAAGAGCGCACGAACCTAGAGGTGGTGGCAACGCCACCAGCAATGAAGAGCAGAGAGGAGGGAGAGCACGTGGTGGCCTCCTGGTGAAGGCGGGCGCGTCCTTCCGTGCGCAAGAGTATTTTCCCTGGTGTCTACTAGAAAGAAGAGCGTTCGACTCGGATGTGCCTCCCGGTCCCAAACCCCCCGTCTCTCTCCCGAACGCTTGAAACGCGACGTAGCACTTCGTTCAGAGGCTGTCGTCGGCCAGTGTACAGCAGTAATCACTTCCTGTCTCCGTGCTGGTGTGGTGTGATTTCGTGTGCTAGGGTTCAGTTGAGGGAGCGACGCAGACACGGACACGCGCAGGCACGCACGCACGCACACTCAGCAGCAGCAGTGAGAGCCCCTTGTCATCAAGCAAGTGCACAGCAGTTAGCTGTCACGCAGCGCACCACGAAAAAACAACAGCACCTGCGGACAGGGGAAGTTCGTGGGAGGACTGTTGACCCACAGACAATCACATGGAGCCGCTTAAATCTGAAAAGTTTCACCAGCACGAAGTTTCTAGGAAACGTTCTTATCTCAAAATCTGCTTCGTTAGACCGGAAAAATTGGAGCCCCAGTCCGAAACTGTGTAATATGACACAACGAATCCAGCTCTATCTAAGAAAAGAGTCCAAGACAGATTAGCAATGAATCCATTGCGTCAGTGAAGGCTACCTGTGTTTCCATGATTTCCCGAGCAGCATACAGCGACATCTCCCCCGTGGATGACAGGGTCAACAAGACAGTGTGGCAACCTTTTTTTTGTGCATCTATCTGCATGTTGTGCTGGGAATGTACGGAAGGAAAGTGTTAGGTCTAGTTGGTTTGTCGGGTGTGTTGTCGGTGGCACCCTTCCTTCTGGAACTGTTTCCAAGGGCGTGTTTAGTACAGTACGATACTGCCAGTATTTTCAGTATTGAAGTACCTTTGGCCATAATATACTATACTGCACGTTTTAGTACAGCTTTCGATACTGGAATAAAAATACTGCACGCTTTAGTACAGCTTTCGATACTGGAATANGTACTGGAATATACTGTACTGGCAGGACGGCGTTCGGTACTACTGTACTGTACTGCACGCTTTAGTACAGCTTTCAATACTGGAATAAAAATACTATACTGTACTAAACACGCCCTTGACTGTTCCAAGTTTAACAACATATTCGCCTGATTGAGAGCGAAGTATCTGATTGAGAGCNGTACTGGAATATACTGTACTGGCAGGACGGCGTTCGGTACTACTGTACTGTACTGCACGCTTTAGTACAGCTTTCAATACTGGAATAAAAATACTGCACT